CTCCCAGGGGATGCCTTGCCTCTTCAGCTTCTGGCGGCTGCAGCTTTCCTGGTCTGGGGGCTGCATCGCTCCAGTCTGCCTCCCTCCTCTTCTGTATGTCTAGTCTATGTGTCTCTTATAAGGATACTTCTCCCTGGTTTTGGACCCATCCAGGTAATCCTGAATAAGCTTCTTTCAAGATCCTTAATTTAGTCATATCTTTTAGCATATAAAGTAACATTCACAAGTCCTGGGGTTTTGACATGGACATCTTGGGGCGGGGGGCGGTGCATTTTTTGGCTTACGCCAATACCTTTGCACATGCTGACAACTTTATAATTGCAAGGGGCTTATAACTCAGAAGTTCATATATGGACCCCATAGACTCTGAGTTCGAACTCTGTGCTCAGCTGAGAACCTTATATGTGTAGTGGATTCTTATTACGTAGCCTCTGTATTCTCTCTATGCCAAGTTTTACATTCATCATCCTATTAATACCAATCTTGAAATGATGTTTTCTTCTTGTGACCTTAGATTCTTTACTTCATAGCGTGCTTTCTAAGTCAGTGTTTCTGATTTCTTTAGAAACTGTTTATCTTTTGATAAGATTTACATTAAAGAAAAGAAAAGTCATTCGCACGCCTTTTTACTTCATTCTGTAGCAAGGAGGCTATTATTGAATATTATAGAGTATTAACAGTCCTCAGAGGGAGGGAATACCCACCCCATTATATACGCAAGAAAATGGAGACTGATGGGAGTTAAGTAATTTGGGGGACAGAGCTTTGGTGGGGGATAGAGCTTTGGTGGGCGACAGCTTTGGTGGGGGACAGCTTTGGTGGGGGACAGAGCTAGCAAGGGACAGGGCAGGCTTTTGAATAAAGGTCTCCTACTCTAAAGCCCATGCTATTTTCATGATGCCATGAAAACACAGCGTACTTCCCTTTTACACAGGGGCTCTCTATGCTTTGGTTTCAGGGGTCAACAGACCAGGATTTCACGTAGACTACAGTGCTTACTTACAGCGTTGCCTAGGACAATAGCTTCTCTGCACCTCAGCTTTACGGAAGACTGCTACCTGGCTTCTGCGCCTCAGAGCACTGCTCTGGCAATTGAGAGAATCTGAAAGAAAGCTCTTCAAAATAGGAAAATGTACTACTACATAATACATTTATTTGGGTTCTCATTTGGTTATATTCTTAGTACTTTTTTCCTGTACTAGCCTAGATTTCAAAGTTTGGGAATATGGTCAAGCCTCAACCAGAGGCTCTGTTAGCTCCAGCTGTGAATTTCTTGGCTTAGGACCTCTTGGGCATTGGGCTGGTGTAAATGCTGAGGTCTGTTTTCTGCTCTTTCATTTTAGGGACATCCCCAACTTTGTCTCGCTCAGCTCCACCTGGGATATCTATGTTCATGATTATTTTATGAACACTTCTCTTTCCCAGGTCAGTTTTTAACTCCTCTCATCACCCACTTTGCCTTGGGTTTGGTTGGTGGCCTGGGACTGTGGTCTGGAGACTCTTTCCCTTTTTTATTTCCCCCTCCCCCAGTTTCACTTCCATAATTACTATCTCCTTTTATCTTTGCTCTTGGCTTCCAGAATATAAAGATACTAAAGACATTCTTATCTTTTACAAAAATAGCTCCCCTCCCTTTGACAAAAAACTCCTCTCCCTCAGTCCCTCAGCCCGTCCCACCTGTCCATACCGCGGAACGCCTGTTCCCTTCCCCTGCTGGCTTTTTGTGGTTTATAAGATAATGTGTAGAATTCTGGTGCCCAGTTGTAGGCAGAAGCCCTGTGTGCTTCTGTACCCCTCATTGCTGCGGTCCACCAATCCTATTTCTTGAGGACTTTGGGACTTGGCTTGTCCACGCCACTTCCTGGCACAGTCACGGGCAACTTCAGGGGATCTGTGAGCAACTTATCCAAGCTACTGTCCTCAGGGTTCTCCGACCTGTCCCGGGCCAGCAGTGACAGTATGATACCTGATACCATGGTTTTGAACCCAAGTTCCCCTACTTCCTAACTGCAGAACTTTGAAAATACTACTTAGCCTTTTGTGGCTCATTTTCCTTTTTTGTAAATTGGGGATGATAGTATCTGTACAGATGGGATTTTGTTACTAGTTTCAAGTGCCTGGCACATAGTAAGTGCTCTATAAATGTTATCTATTAAGATTATTAGTATTTAATTGTGTGTGTATTTACTAATATATGCCACTATTATTCTTAGTTACGTGACCAGTTCAAAAGCTACACCTTCAGCTTTGCCTCCTCAAACTAAACCTCTTAAGTTTTAAAGGCCAAAAAAAGGGGCACTGACCACGGTTGCCGAGTACTGTCATTCAGTACACTTGGTTAAAAATATAAAGCAGAGCTCACCCGTGCTTCAATCCCAGCAGTTCTTATTTACAGATATGCATCAGATTTATCCGGGGGGCTTTTTCAAAATACCTGGGCCTTTTGGGAGCTTGAGTAGGAGGATATGTAAGGGTGGAGATGAGAGAGAGCGTCAAATCCCTTTCCTCCCTTCATTTTCTTTTAGTTAACAACCCCCTTGCTTGGTTCCTTTCCTCACCAGTCTCCCCTCTATTAATTAGTATCTTAAGCTACTTTCTCATGGCCACCCTTGATTATCTCCTCATTCTCTTTTAATCTTGCCCCATTTGCTCTGCTAACCCCTAACTTTGGATGAATCCAATCCAATCTGCCTCCAATGTGGGCTACCGAAAGCCACAGTTTTTGAGCAATGTGAGGTTCTTTCGTGTGCTATTTTGCGCTTCGATCTTTACTGTTCATATTTCAATACCTGACCTTACATGACACAGTGGTCATATGACTGTTTTATTTAATACTGATTTCAAAAGTAACTTCAACTCTCATGCAATTCAATTACCCAGGATCTCTGATTCTATCAATTATGTCTCATTTATTTTTACAATGTTTTGAGTAGCATTAACGGTATTATTAATGTTTTATAAGTGAGAAAACTGAGGCACATGATGGTAAAATAGTTTGTGACATCAGCTTGCAGGCATAATTTTTTTGAACTTTGGAAGATAAGTCATTATGATCATGTATTAAGCAACCTTCTCTACACTAATTGTCTTGTGCGTCAGTATAATGGCTTGAACATCACTCTTTTTAAGGAATTTGTGATGAATTATTCTTTTTAAATTTTCTTTTTGAGATGGAAAATGTCCTGATCAAGTCTAGTCTATGACTTTTGGGAGAGGTTTATGGGGGGGCGGGGCGTGTGTGTGTGTGTGTGTGTGTGTGTGTGTGTGAGTGTGTGTGTGTGTGTGTGTGTGTGTGTGTAGTAGGTGATAATCCTTGGCTTTGGTTTTTAACAAGAATTTTAAAAATTCTATTACAACTAGAAGATTCCTCTTTCAGTTTTTATTCAGTTTCCTAAATTCCCTTTGCAAATAGTGGACCTGACCCAATTATTTTTTGAGAATTCATTTCACAGAACAGTATGTTAAAATATTTTTGTTCTGCTAATCAAGTTCAATGTAAAAACTGGCAGGCATCCATAGTTTCTTTTTTTTTTTTTTTAAGATTTTATTTATTTATTTTTAGAGAGAGGGGGGAAGGGAGGGAGAAAGAGAGAGAGAAACATTGATGTGTGAGAGATACATTGATCTCTCCCATGTCCCCAGCTGGGGAACTGACCTGCAACCCAGGCATGTGCCCTGACTAGGCATCGAACTGGCGACCTTTCAGTTCACAGGCCAGCAATCAGTCCACTAAGCAACACCAGCCAGGGTGTAGCTTCTATTCTTTAACAAGCAAATAATTCTATTCCGTAGTGAAGATACTGGCTCCATTATTATACTTTCTGGTTCTGGGATAGCAGGGTATGATCTGAGGAACGTAGCTGCTTCATACATAAAATAAATGCTGCTTCTCTTCGAGCATCTTTTATCTCGATTTTGTTAGTCATATAACCCTCTGTAATCTTTGAAGTATATAATGATATGGTAAAAGTTTGGTAGAAGAATACCATTGATACTGGAAATTATAAAATTTAGATTATTACAAAATTCAACATGACTTTATTGCTACATCAGAATACTTTTTTTTTAAGGGGACAGGGGAAGTTGAGCACCACTGGGAAATTTAGTGAGGCCCAAGATGAGTGGATACTAATGTATATTCAGCCCCTGGTAATTCATGTCAGACATTTGAGGAACCTTAGAAGCTTCTTTGTAGAATACTAATGTTTGAAACAGGTGCTCAATTTTATTTTTTTTCTGTAAAGTAAATTTACTATATAAGGCATAACCTCATGGAGATACCACTGTTTTTCCTTAGAGTGTACACATAGGTTTTGATGCAATGACTTTTCATCTGGAGATTTTTTATCTTTATTTTCTTATTTTAAAATGAAGATACTTAACATATTTTTGTAGTAGTTGCATATTTTATTATAAAACAGAATTTGAAGGGCTCTGGGAATCACTTGCTAGTGATGATCAATAGTAACAGTTTGGAATTCATTCCCCCAGACTTTTTCCAATGTATTAGATAATATAAATTTTATTTCTTCTTTAAAAACATGTTATCATGCTATATATACAGTTTTGTGATTTGCTCTGTTTAGATAACAAGTCCTTTTGGGGTTAGGGTATAGAGATAGATGCCTCCATTCTTTTAATGGAGTTATACTCTTCCATTGTATCATAATTTTCTTATCCATTCCCCTGTTGGTGGACATTGAAACTGTAATATACATCCTTTATGTGTGTATCTTTGCCTATTTGGACAAATGTTTCTGTAGGATAAATATTAAAAGTAGAACTTCTAGATTGAAGGGTATGCCCATATTTTATTTTAATGGATATTTTTGGGCTCTGCAAAATGTTATATCAATGTTCTTATTTTTATAAGAAGTAAAGTTCTCAACTTGCAGAAATTTTTGCTGTGATGTATCATCATGAATTTATAGCAGTATTTCTAATATAAGGTTTCTAGTGATGTAAAAATCTTTAAAATGACAGCTTGTTTATTCTTACAGTCATGGAATGGGGGGACGATATTAAAGCAATTTCAAAAGATGAAGCAGTAATGTTGGTGAATCATCAGGCAACAGGGGACGTGTGTACTCTGATGATGTGCCTCCAGGACAAAGGACTGGTAAGCCTTTGACAGCAGGGGGGGAGGAAAGCAGAGGATCAACTCAAGTGTCTTATGAGGGTTGGAACATAGACTTTAATATGTACTTATATACTTTTTCTGAAAATTTAGAAAAACTTAAAAAAATATATGTATTTCTAAGTCACTCCCCGAGAGGAATTTAGAGACTTAAAAAGAAAGAAGGACTGAGATAATGTGAATTATATCTCTATAAAGTGGTTTTTTAAAAAAAAAAACCAACTAGGATGAAAACAATGTTAATATGGTTTCAGTTGGGGGCTATCTTACAGTGAAGTGGTAGATTGCCAGTTTGAGACATACAGACACAGAATCAGTATAGCGTAAGATAGGAGAGTAAAATTGGTCAGTGAACTTGGTGATCTTGGGACTCTTTTGCCAAAGATAAATAAAGTAAATACTGCTTTGGCTTTCATTTACAAAGCATGTTGGAAGGAAAAATATGAGGCCTACTTTAGTTAGTGTTATTAAGGCTCTGTTTGAACTGTAGATTTATATTGCATATATTAATAATTAAGATATATCTATATATTGGGTGGCTTTAAAATAAATTATCTTTAGCATTAAAAGAATTATCACCTAAGGAGAAGTTAAAGAGCTCCTATTCATAGAAAACTAAATAAACAGTATATAAAATTAATGGAGCAGATACTTGGCCTAATAGTAAATAAACAAATTAGTAGATGTTTATTAAGCGCTTCATATTCATGGTCAGTGACTATAAACAGATCACCATCCTATGAGACACTTTTCTACTCATAGAGACACTTTGGTCCTCATAAAGGAGCTAACAGGCCACTGTTAAGGTAGGTGGAGGGAGGACATAGCAAACAAGACATAATTGCAAAGTGAGAAGTACTCGGTGGCTGGTGAGCTCACAATGCACTTGATGGATATAGAAAACTTGGTGGAGGGAAGAGGACATAAACTTCACCTTGAAGAACTAGAATTTAGTAGGACGGAGTAGTGAAACAAGGGCCTTATTCTTTAGTGAAATAGTTTTGGCCAAAGTAACCAAGGCAAGAATAAACCTGCTGTACTTAGGTCCTAGAGATTTTGATTCTGTAGGTCAAGGCTCAGAACATGAGGTTAAAGTCAAGGAAAATATATTTGATGATTTCAGTCTCTGTTTTTCTTGTTTATCTGAAAGGCAGAGTCATACTCTTACTGGAATGTGAATTCACCTTTCTTCTATTAAGAATCTTGAGTTGTTAAAAGACTATTGCTGTGTAGATATATTTGTACTTCTAGTAATATTTATTGCCTTTCCCTTAAATTCATGATGTTAAAATTTTGTAAAAACTAGTTTATTTGGCTTTGTGTCAAGAGAATCCCCAATTAACAGTTTTATTCTTACTGATATGATAATTTCATTTATAGTGATTATTCAGTATCCTTAATTAGTATTAAATCTCAAAGAATGATTAAAATCAGTATAAATATGCCTACCATTATTACTCTAAATCAAGTTTGATATAGATGGTAACTGTATTAACCAGAATACAGTTAATCTAAAATTTGCCAGTCATGTGGACAAAAGAAAGTTTGGTTTGTTTGTTTGCTTTTGTAAAAAGATTTCAGTTAGTTTGTCTTAGGTTCACTCTTTTTGTTCAGAGTAATTTTGCTTTTGTTTTCAGATTAGTTATACTAAACATTTTTATGATCTGATATTATTGAACAATTTGAAATCTTGAAGAATTTTTAAATCTTTTTTCATAAAAGAATAATTGAGAAATACAAAACTGGAAGTATTAAAATTTTTACCTCTTGCCTAATAAGTTAGGGCAGTATTAATTTATATTTACATTCAAGGAACACGGATACAAGACCCATGGACAAAGCCAAAGCGGGGAAGGATTGAGGGTGGGAGGTGGGGGGCAGGGGGGCAGGGGAAAGTGGTGGCGGGGAAAGTGGAGACAACTGCATTTGAACAATAACAAAAAAAATTTATTTTTACAAAGTAGGAATGTTAACTTGATTTATTGTATACTCCATGCTACTTTCAAAGAAAGTAGAGAATTGTCTAGACTCTAGTCACGTTTGTTCTAGCCAACATTTAATTATTTCTTATTTTTAAATATTTTAGGCCGTTGCTCAAATGCTGTGGTTGATGGATCATATTTTTAAGTATACAAACTTTGGAATTGTTTCTCTAATTCATGGAGACTTCTTTATAAGACAAGTAAGTAATGAGCATTTTTTTTTCACAGGGATAGCCTGATCAAACTGATTCTTTATTGTATAAAAAGGTATAATAAAACCAATTATAATAGGTAAAATTAGGGAGCTCTTCCTCTAACTGTGTGTTCCCTAAATCATTTATTTCAGATTAAACTTGAGTATGCATTATAAGCATTAATATGCTGATAATGTAAATATTCAAACCTCCACTCCCATCTAAACAGTACAGTGTTTAATAAACATTTTCAAGCACTTGCCACATTCTCAGCTCTTCTACTTCACACGTATGTGAATTGGCAAGTTATTTAAACTCTGAAAGTTTCCTCATTTCTCAAGTGAGAATAATAGGTGCCCCTCTCATAGGGTGGTTGGTTGTGGGGATTAAATGAAGTAATACCTCTGAAGCGCTCAGGACGGTGCCTGCTACCTTCGTCGTGATTATTATCATGAGCGTCACTAGCATCACCTATATTATCACTGTTATTTTTATTCACATCTATATTATCACTGTTACTTTTATTTTCAAGCCATTATTAAATGAAGTGTATAAATTAGCAGTGGGGGATTATTAAATAAGAGGAATTATTTTGAGAATCTGTAATAGGAAAAGTAAGTACATCAGATTTCTGTGAATTCAGAAAAAAAAAGAGGAGAAGCTGGTATTTGGCATAACATAAAGAATGAGTATGGGTTTGATGGAAGAAGGTGGATTGGGAATGGGTCCTCAGCATTAGGAACAATTTAGTGTGTAGGAAAAAGAATCATAGCCTCTTATCAAGTCAGCACTACATTATATAGTACTTGTCCCATATTACATTTCCCTGATATGGTACTAGTATCACACACTTGATTTTTTCAGAAATGAACAACTGAAATATAATATGCAAGCATTTTGTGTGTGGTAATGCCATGCTTAGATGGTGTTTATATATTTGGCAACTTAAACCTGAATTGTGCAGTACCTTACACATAATAAGTACATAATGAATAGCTAGTGAATCTAATTAAGCCTTTTCTGAGAACCACAAATTCAGAAATAAGTTGGAAGTGTGTAGAAAAATTCTAAGCTCTCTGAAAATAGGTGTCACAGAATACATATTCTTGACTCCAGTTTTATGTACAGAACACATTTTTCTTTTTCACATGCTGTGCAATTGCCTCGTTTCTTCTGGAAAACACCCTTGGTTCTTCTGAGCAGAGAGATGAACAGATGCATTCTCTGGAACCTCAGAAAGAGGTGGAAGTGGGGGATTGTCCACAGGTTGAGACAAAAAAAAATAGTGATCAGAACAACAAAGAAATTAGCCTACTATCTCAAAGTATCCTAACAATTGAAGCTAAGCAGTTTAGGGGAATCCATAGGAAAAATCATGGGGGTCTGAAGAAATTACTGAATTCATAGTATAGTGTAATGTAACAAGTGACCCTAATACGATTCTCAGTTATCAAGAAGAGGCAAATTATACTAATTTACCGGTGTACTTTGAGGGTATAAAAGTAAAAAGGGCATTCTAAAACTGTTTCCTTTTTATTGTAATACAGAGTTTTACATACTTAAAGACTATTTCAAATATCAGAGATTTGCAAATTCATTTCTAAAGAGCAATGTTTTCCCCTGATAGTAACAACAATGTATAACATGGAAGGAAAGGAGAGAAAAAAGTATTAAGAGTAAAGAAAATCTCTTGGGACTTGGCTACTAGACAATTTTGAGAAGTTATTTCCAAGAATATTAAAAATATTTTACATATGGAGTTGGGAACTTAAATACATAGAGCTTAATCATAATTCAGTTCAGCAAATTAGCTAAGAAAATGTCTTACTTGTTTTCTGTTTGGAATAACTTAAAGCCTGAAAGCATAGATTATTTTAGGGAGCTTCTCAATTGCACTGGTTGACAAATTATTAGTGAATTGATCATACTGGAAGGAAGAACCTTTGTAATATTTAGTTATGGGTTTTGGGCCTTTCTACAATGTTCTCTGGATTCCTCTTTTCAGCCTCCCTGTCATCTTTCCTCTCTTCCCTCACAAATAAGATCCAGTGCATCTGAGTTGCCTGTTAGCTTGACTTTGAAATTTTTTCCTGAATGTATTCACTTCTCATCAATATACCATCGTCAAATCTCATCAAACTCCTTTGTCTGGACAACTGCAACTTTCTCCTAATTTATCTCCTGTAATCTTTTTATCACAGGAGCCTGCAGACTTTTTTTTATGTAGATAAGATCATGACACTCCCTTGGTCAGAACTATCCAATGACTTCCTACCCCAAACCACTCACTCAGTGCAAGGCCCTCCCCTGTCTGTTCTCCACCTCTGCCCTTTCCTCTCCGGAGCTGTTCGTCGCATTCATCACACTTCAGCCGTGCTGGCCTTGGTGTAGTTCTTTGAATGGCCACAGCTTGCTGGTTCCCAGCTCAGGCCGTTGTCTTTTTTTGTTCTCATTACCTGGAATACTTTGTCTCGAATCTTCTTCACAGCGCTTGCCTCCTCACATTATCTGTTCTGTGCTCCAGTGTCACCTCCTTGCAGCTGCTTTGCTTTCCATAAAAACCTCTTGACCCTCTGTCCTCTTACTCTTTTTTTCCTAATACTTACGACCAGTTGAGTTTTCATCCCTTATTTACTATCTTCCCAACTCGAGTAAGCTCCGTGAGGGTCTCTTATTTTCTTCTCTATCTCTGGTGTGCAGGGCAGTGCCTGGCAGGGAGGAGTTACTCAGCAAACAGTCACGGAATTGATGAATGAATGAACTTTGAGAGGCAATTAAAGTAATTTTTTCTTTAGAAAGAAAGGTTTATTTATATCAGCACTAGTAACTTCTTTTTACCACTATTCTAGTTTATGATTGGATTTTACTTTAGAAGCTGTTACTACTATTTTATTTCATAGCAGTTTAATTTCAAGTGTACCTGTACTTATATGTGTGTCTACCTTCTAGGGAAAATCTCACCGTGACCAACAACTACTTCTTCTCAAGAAGCACCTAGAAAATAATTACAGGAGCAGAGATCGAAAATGGATTGTTTTATTTCCAGAAGGGGGCTTCCTCAGGAAGAGAAGAGAAACAAGTCAGGCATTTGCCAAGAAAAATAACTTGCCATTTCTTCAACATGTCACTCTGCCAAGGATTGGAGCAACAAAAATTATTTTGAATGCACTTGTGGCACGACAGGAAAATGGAAGTCCAGCAGGAGGAGATGCTAAAAAATTAGGTATGATAGTTATTAGCATATTTTTTCTTTGTTGGAATTAAAGAATTTTCTGGAGTTCCAGAAGATAACGTTCTTTTATATATTTATAATTTTTGTCAAATAGAAATAATACTCAGGGAGAAGATAAAGTAATAAGTGTATCTATTTAAAAAAGCAGTTAATACTTAATATAATTCATTCAAATAATACAAAAATGCATGAAGTCAAAAGTGTCTTTCCTCTACCACATGTATTTTCACTCCTGGTGATTCTTACTGATACAGTAAGCGTTCCTATAAATATATTTACATTTTTGTGAAAGTATTTCTGTGGTGTAGATTCCTAGAAGTGGAATACCTAGAGTAAAAAACATAGGGAAAGAAGTGAAACTAATCGATATGTAAATGAAAGTAGTAATGAAAAAAATTTTTTTCTTATCAAATTTAGAAAGCTTTTTTGTTTTTTATATAGAGAGTGAATTTAATACAGTTTGGCAGTATTTAAGGACCTTAAAATGTTGATAAATGAGTTATTCCACTGCAAAAAAAAATGCTTATCAAAAGGAAATAATCTGAAATACTGGCAAAGAAGTTTATCATAGCATTATTTATAATAGCAAAAAAAATTGGAAATAGCTGGGAGATGGGATAGGTAATTATAAAATATTCGTACAATAGAAAACAACACAGCCATTACAAATGATGTTTATAGAGAATTTTTATTGGCTTGGAAAAATACTTATGCTCTCTAATGATGATGGAGTGGGAGGAACATACAGCTCTGGAGGAGAGTCTGAGCTCAAAGATACAAACAACAAAGCAGGAGAAATGAGTGTGAGGGTAGATACCAAAATGTTAGCCATGATTGCTTCTCCGAGTTGTAACATTATGAATGATTTTTTCCCTCCTCATTTCTTAATGCTTTTCTGTATGTTTTTAAAATACTGAGTATGTATTATTTTTATGGCCAGGAAATGGTAAACCACACTCAAAGATAGAACTGCGTATCTTGGAGATACCCTGCTGAATTGTGAAGATCTGCAGACAATATTAGTGCCAACAGCATGAAGACTGTTATGAGAAAGTTTAAGACACTATCAGAGTTTGGTGATAGAAGCTGAAAGAACCCCACTAGGCCTGTCTCCTTAGTAGCATTTTGCTATTTTTTAAAAAAATATATTCTTTAGACAGAATGAAAATAGCAGTGATAGGCCTCAGAAATAGATGTTTTCAAATGACAACAAGGACCAGACGTAGAGATAATGCCTGTGAGATTGCACTGAGTTTCCCTTTTATTTGTTTTTTTCTAAGCCGCTGCTTGGCAAGTCAGCTCTCTTCATCATCTATCGCAAAGACAAATTGAAAAAGTCTTTTAATAGAAAAGGAAAATTCAGAATAGCTTTGCCACTTGAGAGACACCGTGCAATGTCAGCCAAGCCAAAGCTTGAAGGCAAAGGGCTTCCAGATAGGATTTGCTGCACTAATTAAGACGGCTGTTTTTAAATAGTTTCCCTAGTCCATCCCCTTGATATTCTAGATCTCAAATAGAAGGACAGTTGTCATATTGATTACACAGTGGTGAAGAAAAATATTTTTCTTCCTTGGGAAAGAGACAATTTCTGCTTATAACCAAGGCAAAGTAGTTTATTATTTACCTTACCTTAGTTAAAATTTTTATTCTGTTTAGGAAAATATATAAATTCTAGAAAATTGTATACCTGAAAACCAGCTGTATTTGTATTCTACCATTTTTTCTTTATGTTTTGGTATTATGTACTTTATTTACTCTTCATATTAATTATTTAGTGTTTTATTCCAAACACACCATGTCTTTGTGTCTGTATTAATATGTAATCCATACACATATCAAAATTAAGTGATTAGGTTTTTTGGTTATTGTATTATTTAATAGACATTAAACAACTCTGGTGATTTTCCCCCTCCATGGTTTTATTATCAAAATTTTCAAGCATTCATAAAACTTGAAAAAATTTTACCGTTAATATCCATAGGCTGACCAGCTAGATCTGTAATTAACATTTTACTGTAATTTGCTTTATCATATCTCTCGCCATTCTTCTATCAATCCATTAGTTTTCTTCTTTTTTTTTTTTTAAATGCACCTCTCACAGTAAGTTACAGACATCAGTATACTTTACCCCTTAACGTTTCAGCATGTACTCCTTGGATAGCTTGTCAAAATGTGTTTTGTTACATAAACTCTGTTCCTTTAGCAGTATGTTATTTAAAACCATTTTTTTACTTATATATTTTATGGGCACTTTTCCCCCTTCAGGATGTTGTCTAAAATTTTTTAAGCATTTAAGGCCACTTTGTAATTATTTGACATACCAAAGTAATATGTCACTGATTCCTAATGCACAGTTGGATTTAACATTTTAAAATAAGTATTATTTTTTAGGGATCTCAAATATCTCAGATAAAGAATAGGCCATTACATGTTAAAGACTGGCTATCAGCATTCTGTGTAAAGGTTCCCCTCTCAATGCTTGCTCAACTTTGTACTCCATGCTGGCAATAAAAAACAGTACTTCCCCATTTCTCTCGCAACAGCAGTTACCTGCTGTACCAGCCAAGAGCAGACAGGTTTATCCCTTTCTTTGTATGTAACTCTTGCTACAAGGGGAGGAGTTTTCTGTTTTGTTTTAAACAAGACCAGCAACTGATGATCATGTGTGTCAATAAAATGCTTACTTTATTGCTTTACTCCCATGTTTATTAATGTCTCCCAAGCATCACATACCTTTGTGTTCATGTTCTGCTGTTATATTTCATGAATGTTCTTGTTTGGTTTTGAGATCTACTTTTAATTTTGTGATGTGATACCTTAGCTTCTGACTTTTCCATAAACCAGTTTTCGAATGATAAAATATACATGAGACTTTGATAGTGCGTAATTGTATTGAATACTTCAATGATACATGTTCAATAAATAATAGTGCTGCTATTTGTTCATTTGTTTGAAATTCATCTATTTTATAATAGGAAATGCTTAATTTCATTCTAAGTATATCACATAAAACAGTAACACCAAAGTTCATCCTGTTTTCTTAAAACAAAAGGTATACCAATATGCTTTATACTCCTCAAGTAACCTATACTATGTGAATTATTGTAAATAATATTAAAATTGATCCAATTTTAAGTTGTTTTTTTTCCTTTCATCTCAGGCAGCAAATCGAAAGGCCTCCAGTGGATAATAGATACAACCATAGCTTATCCCGAAGCTAAACCCATAGATATTCAAACCTGGATCCTTGGATACAGGAAACCGACAGTCACACATGTACATTACAGGTAAGAATTCTACATTAGTACTTAACATATATGTAACATAAAGTACCGTCTTAGGACAATGTGAATGTTTCCATATTAAATTTTTAATCAATAATGAAAATGGTTGCCTCAAAATTATGTTGAATTTTTCTTATGAAAATATCATTTGAAATAGTTCTTTTCATTGAGTAATAAAAGTCTCTAAAAATGACATTCTAGTAGCAATATGATTACTTGATTGTCTGAAACGCTTCTGTAAAAATAGAGGACAGACATCAAGGATAAATATATATTCATTTGTGTTAACTAGATTTGTCTTAATAGAAATAGGATTTGTTTATAAATCATTAGATCATGTAAGATTTTCTAAAGATTAAATGGATAACTTAACTCTGATTTACATTTTAAAATATTTAATATTTTAATGCTATGTCATTTGCATAAATAGCTGCAAAAGGTTTTATAAATATAGATTTCTTTTTTAAAAGAGTTTCATGTAAACATTTATAGATATTTATATCAAAGCATGATGCTGCCAAGTTCTGGATAGGTTTGATCACTCTATAATCCATTTATCTTTATTTCCTGGTCAAAGATCTCAACCTATGGCAACTAAGTTACAAAATGAGCAGTTAGTCCCAAGGAATATCAGAAAGGTCACAAAAGCCTTCAGTTCAAGAGGAAAACTACTCAAAGTACATACTCTTTGAGAATAGATAGGGAGCATATTTGTGAGCCATTATATGTGTAAACTATCATAGTTTTACAAGTATAAGTACAGAGTTGGAATAATTTGAAACATAAATTTTAAAACTTAAATATTGCTGTTTGGGTTTTTGACATGTGAGGGATGGCTATAAAATTATAGTTGATTCTGCTATGTGACTTACATTGCTGAATTATGAAGTTCATCCAAAAAGCAAGAAAGTAATTCTTTTTGATTTTAAAGTTTTTCTTTTTCAATCACAGTTGGCATACAATATTATATTAGTTTCAGGTGTACAACCTAGCGGTCAGACATTATGTAACTTCTAAATGATCATCCCAAAATCTCATACCCGTCTGACGCCATATATAAATAATTACTACAATATTATTGACTGTATTCTCTATGCTCTACTTTACATCCCCATGACTGTACACTAACTACCAATTTGTACTTTTCAATCCCTTCATCTTTTCCACCCATTCCTCTCAAAGCCCTCCCATCTGGTCACTATCAAAATGTTCTTTTTATATATGAGTCTATTTCTGTCCTGCTTGTTTGTTTATTTTGTGGTTTAGATTCAGTTGTTGATAGATGAATATTTATTGCCATTTTATTATTCATATTTTTTATATTTTTCTTCTTAAAGGAGACCCTTTAACATTTCTTGTAATACTGGTTTATTGGTAATGAACTCCTCTAGCTTTCTAGCTTTTTCTTGTCTGGGAAGCTCTTTATCTGCCCTTCAATTATAAATGACAGCTTTGCTGGGTAGAGTGATATTGGTTGTAGGTCTTTGCTTTTCATCACTTTGAATATATTTTGTCAGTCCCATCTGGCCTGCCAAGTTTCTGTTGAGAAATCAGCTTTAGGAATCCTAATGCAGATCTCAGGGAGGGTTTCAGCAGAATATTCATCAGCTTTCCAGGGGAGTTCTTTAATATGTTGATGTACCAAAATGAGCGCATAGGGGGACTGGGGTCATTTTCTGGTCAGTTTTACCTTCAAAGGAGTCACTGGAAAGGGACACCCCAGCAACGTCTACAATGTATAATCCATTTGCTCTTAAGTGTCCTTGTTTGGGAAAGAGAAGACCTTGGGTTTATTATCTGGCTGGCAATTGCTTGGCCAGTTTGTTCAGCTACTTGTCTCCATTTCCGCATTCCACTTCCCATGGACTTGTTCTAACTTCTTACTAACTGGCCTCACTTTCATTTGGGACACATTTCTTTTTCTCCTCATTTTGGCAGCCTCCCTGTGATTGTTTCTATGTGTTATGCAGACCTGCTACACCTCCCAGGGTTGGTAGAGTGGTCTTATGTAGTAGGACCCCTGTGTCGGCTGTGTGTACCCACCTGTTGTAGTTGATACTTGGTTGCTGTTGGCACATCAGTGGGAGGGATTTACCCCCAGGCACCCCAGCTGCAAGGATTGGCTGCAACCACTGAGGAAGATGCGCTGTGCTGGTGCCCACCCCACAGAGCAGGACTTAACTTCAGCAGGGCTCTGGTGCCTGCTGAGTTTGCCCCTTGAGTGTATTGCTTGTGGAAGTGGTTAGGTGGTTCTTTGATGCGGTCCAGAGCTGTCCACTGGGTGCACTGGCTCTGGGGCCTCCCAGGAGGTGCAGGCCAAGGTCACCCTCTGCCTGTGTTCTGCTCAGAGCTATCCGGCATGAACTACAAAGTGATCTGCAGATGGCTTCTCGTGTTGGATGTAGAGGTGCCCAGGAGAGGCCAAGCTGTGGACCAAGGTCAGCTGCTACTGGGGCTGGGGCTGCAGCCACGGCCACTTAGCTAGAGGTATGGGGCACACCAAGGCCAGATGCTGCTTGTTTGAGAGATTTTAAAAAAGTCCAAAGCATGAGCCAAGACAGGCCATTTGTATGGAGACCCCAGTGGAAACAGGTTGGGTTAGGCCTGTAAGCTGTATGGGTTGGGGTCTCAGGGAATCACCGGGGCAGGGCAAACAGTCTTTGCCAGGTTGATGGAGACCCATAATATGAGGCACACTTGCCGGTTTTGTAAGGATAGGGTCAGAAAGGAAGCAATGGCCTCTGCCAGCACTTATGTCTGGGAGAAAACTGCCTCTCCATCTCTCACCTGATGCCAGACAATTCAGTTCCTCCCCATATATCCCTGTTGCCCTTTGAACTGCTGCCCTAGCACTGGAGCTTAGAGTGAGTGAAGCCAAGATAAGTCTGTGTGCAAGCGCTTTAAGGGGAACTGCATGGAATTCCAGAAGCTCTCTGTTTCACTCAGCCACACTCCTCCCTGGTTTTTACAGACAGAAGTTATGGGACTTCTCTTTCTGGCACTGGAACTGTGGGCTGGGGGGCCAGGTGTGAGGCTGGGAATCTTTACTCCTCAGGGGGTGATCTCTGCAGTCAAGATAGCCCTCCCAATTTTTATCCGCCACATGTGGGTGTGGGAACAGCCTGGTCCACATCTCTGCCTCTCCTATCAGTCTCGATGTGGCTTCTTCTTTAAATCCGTAGCTGTAGGATTTCCATTTAGCCAGATTTTAGGTGATTCTGAATGATGGTGGTTCTGTAATTTAGTTGTAATTTTGATGTGGTTGTGGAAGGATATGAGTGCCTTACTTACCTCTGTGGCTATCCTGACCTGAAGCCCAAAAGTAATTCTAGATGTCTGTTTTGACTCCATTCCACATATGTTGTCCATTTTGCTTAAATTATTTAGCACTTATGATATACAAAGCAGTGTGCTGGGCTCTGGAATAATTTATCCAGCAACAGTTTTATTTTCACATATATCGAATATATTTAGCTTTCAGTAAGTTTTTAATTGTAATCTATAAAAGATGGTCAGTTCTAATACCCAAACCAGGAAGATGTGGCTATTGAATGTGTGTTTTGGACACATGTAGACTGTATCTGCATTGGATCTATGCAGACCTTCCTAGCATAGCATACCCAAAAAGAAGAAACAAGGAAGAAAGCATTAAATTATCTCATTGTTCATTGTAGTTGACCTTGCCTTTCTTTTTAAATCAATAAATACAAGAAATTTTAGCTTACAGATATTTAGAAGGGACCTTAGAAATTGAAATGTCCTGTTTTTTGTTGTTTGTTTGTTTGTTTTTTTAGCAAAATTATTTAACAGGAAAAAATGCAAGGCTTTTAAATTTACTTGAAGCAGAGATTCTTAACCCTGGGTCCTGTGGATGGCCTGAGAAAAAATTTTTGCTGAATCTCTATACAAAATTTTCTGTACGTTTGCAATTTTCTGCAGAGAAGTTTCTCTAAATACAGTAGGATTAAAAAAAAAGATTAAGAAACCCTGATTTAGGGATCATAACCAAATAATAGCTAGAAGATGAGGAGTGGTTAGTTTGATACCAAAAAATACCTCTATTAATAAAGTAGAAGCTTTTCAGAAATATATTTATTATAGAAACTTTATCATCAGACATAGAAATAATAAAATGGATTCTAATGTGTTAGATTAGCAGAAATTAAATTTTTATTTATAAACGCACACATCTATATCTATCTACCTATATCTATCTATCTATCTATCTATCTATCTATCTATCTATCTATCTATCTATCTCCTAGGAGTCTTGGGAGAAGTGAAGAGGTAGATTTTTCTTCCCAGAAATTTAATAGAGTGCATTGTCTAACCAATGTTAGGAAAAGGGAAGGACCTGTGCTCACATGGGAAAGGGAAAGCAAATGAAAGGGGCCAGAGAGACCGGACGTGTCCTGGTGTCTGGACAGTTTGGAGGATTTGCAAGAAGTTTGTGAGACGAGATGTGGGCCATGGTTGTAGCAACTCCCTGGATGTCTCCATCTGCCGTAGATTGATTAGGTCTCCTCCTGTGTTGTTCTAGGCCATCATGACATCCTGGGGGACAGGAAAGAAGATAGGTTTTGTTTGGGGGCAGTTTGCTGTTTTTAGGGTTGTTTTATTTTTTTAAATACTTCCAAGCTTTCTTAATTCTAAAATAATCTGTTTATTGCTTATCCTGGATTTCTCCTGCCAGGAATAACACCATTAAAATTAAAATAAATTTCAACAAACATATTATTCCTTATCCATTTTTTTTTATTTTCTCAGAAAGATTGGCTTTTGTTCATATTCTAGTTATTTGGTTATATTTTAAAATTTTAAACAAGGGTGAGATGTTTTCAATTATAATAAGAAATTTTAAAATACAGCATTAGAAATCATATATACACAAATGTGAATGATATAAATAACTTGGGTTAGATCTCTTTCTCTTTAAATGTGGGAAGGTTGGCAAGAAAAACAAAACAACATTGGTTGCCTAAAGTGGGGAATGGGTCCCCAGA